GATGACCCACCCAAGAAAACCCCGTGGAGCAGTTCCACTCTCTTAATACTCGGGGGCCCCTGAGAGGTGGAATTGGCTGAGTGGCAAATTTTGTGTTTGTGGGGTGGGGGGGGTGGGGGGCTGTTTCAGTACAGCTTGAAAATGAAGATGATGAACTGGTTATGTTTGTTAATTTTTTTTAATTGAAGCATATTGTTTGATTTTTCTGAACAGATTTCTCAAACCACAACTTCTAAATCCCACTGCCATCAAGTCGATTCTGACTTACAGCGACCCCATAGAAGAAAGTAGAACTAGGGTCCTTGAGACTGCCTCATCTTTTTCTAGCTTGTCAGTTCCAGCCAAGTGCTTTAGCCATTGTGCCACCAGGGCTGTTTGTAGTAATTTATCATAATTCTTCTTACATTCACTTATATACAAGTGCATGTATTTCATCAACAATTATTACTACCCCTTACTGCCTGCATGTATTGTGCTCTACTACCTTCTGTTTCTGACAGAAAGGAGCTGGTCAGAACCACTGAATTGGGGGCCCGAAAACACTGTGAGGAGCGCTGTTACATAGTCTTCATCCTTCCTTTTTTTTTTGGAAAACAAAACAAACAACTCTTCTAAGTGTATGACCCATTCTTGGCCGTCAGGTGGTGGGGCCAGAAGTTGAAGATCCTTGCACTAAATGGGAGGAGCCCCGGTGGTGGTGCTGTGTTTAAAGTGCTACCTGCAAATCACAAGGTTGGTGGTTCAAACCCACCGGCCACAACCTGGAGAATGCTGCATTCTGCTTTTGTAGATTCTCTCAAAACGTTCACAGACATCTAGTCAATGCCTTGAAAACCTCGCTATACAGCTTTGCTGTGTCTTTTAGGGTCCCCATGAATCAGAATCAGCTCGACGTCCATGTTTTTAGGGGTGCTGATTGAATTTCTCCCGGCCACAACTGCACATTGACAGTTAATTGGGAGATCCAGTTTGCTCTTTTCTCCTCTCTTCCATTCTTCTAAGGCCGCGCTTACTACCCTTGGCAGAATCGCCATCAATCAGCTCTGGTTCTATTGCTGAATCAACTACTTTGGGACCTGTTTTGATGATGTTAGTGTTTCTGAATCTTCATAAATGGTTGGTGTGTCCCCCCCTCAAGTCCTAATGAGAATGCAAAACTGTTAATAATATAATATTAGGACAAGCAGAGCAATGGTTTTGTTTTTTCTTCTTCATTGGGGTGGTGTGATACGTTTTTTCTGCTTTTCAGCACTGTGGTACAGTTCCTAATTGTAAACACTATGCTTTCCTTTCCAGCTTTGCCAATTTGAGAATTTACCCCCACGGATTGGTGTTGCTGGACATTCAGAGTTACGACAGTGATGCGCAAGGCAACAAAGAACTTGACAGTGTTGGTGTTTTACTTTTATTTACTCAAGCTATTTAAAAATGTTTTATTTTATGTATTTTTAAAATTTACTCGAGCTATTAAGGAACTGAGAATCTGCTTAGTTTCAGGGTATCCTTAAAATTCTTCCCCGTGATGGTTGACTTCCCAGTGAACAAGTTTTAAGTGTTTCTCCTTCCAGATGGGGGGTTTCAAGAGAGGAAGAGTGGTTCCTCAGTCATCTTGCTCTTCTCTACCGAGGTACTCAGGAATGATTGCACTTTCCACTGGAGGGAGTATAAAATCTTGAACCAAGATTCTTTTTTAATGTGATATGTTTTGTGGCAAGATAGACATGGCAAAAAATGTTATCATTTGAACCAGTTTTTGAGGATATAATGCAGTGCAATTAAGTGTAACCACCACCACTGTTTCCTGAACTCTATCATCCCAACCGGAAACCCCATCCCCATTAAGCATTACTGCCTTCCTACCCTTTTCCTCTGCCCCTTTTCTGCCTCTGGATTTGCCCTTGCTAGGGACCTCAGAGTGGTGCTATACAATAGCCGTCCCTTTGACTCCACCTGAGTTCACTTAGCATCATGGCTTCCGGGTTCATCCTCCTTGTAGCAGGTGACCAAGATTCTCTCTCCTCCCGATCCCTTATCAACCTCCCCCTTGCTCTTGGCTTCTTGTTGGCTTGCATGCAAGGTCAGCACTGAGGAGAGGGAAGTTGGTGTGGGAATGTGGACTCAGGCCAGGCCCGGGGTCTGCTAAAAGGGGGGAGGGCCCCACTCTGTCAACATGGCTTCAATTTGTCCACTCTCCCTATTCTACTTGCCCACTGAGTTTTATCTTTTCCTTTGAATTACAGCTTCTGAACAAAATAGAAGAACGAATGAAAGAACTGAATCAGGAAAGTACTGCGAGGGTGAAGCGGTGAGTCCACTCCCAAACGGCCTTTCATTCTATGTCGATCACTGGTGAAGCCAGTTTTGTCCCCCAGTCATGTCTGCTTGAGATGTGGAGAGGATCAAAATCACAGGGCGAGCAGAGCGCCTGGGCCCCTCCTGCCCAAACCAGACCTGAGGCACTCCCACAACTGCTGGCCAAAGTGGAGCTGAGAGGAGATGAGGGACTGCACGAAGCTGGGGCTGTATGAAGCCGGGACCCGGCCAGGGCTGTCTCCTGTCAAAGGGGAGCTGGGAAACTTCCATGGTGGGTGCCAGAAGACAAAGGGATACTTGAGCCCTGGATGGTGTCTTAGTTTCTTAGTATGGCTGTAACAGAAAACGTGATGAATGGGCGGCCTTGTCTGCTTTAGGAGCCTAGAAGTCTGAATTCAGGGTGTTGGCCCTAGGGGAAGGTTCACTTTTTTCTTTTTTAGGTTCACTCTTTTCTTCTTCTTTTTAGGTTCACTTTTTTTCTGTTGGTTCTTTTCAATGTCTGTTCCTCAATTGCTGTGCCCATTTTTATGTGATTTGTAGGTTCCCCTTGGGCTTACTTGATTCAGGGCCTCATCAGCTCATTTTATCTCTCAAACTATATAGGCCTGATCAGCATAATAAAGGAAACCAGAATTCCAGGTGGAATTACATCCATCTATAATGGGGTTATAGGCTGCACAACACTGTTTTAAAGGAACCTCTGGTGGTGTAATGGGTTATGCCTTGGGCTGCTAACCTCAAGGTCAGGGGTTTGAGTCCACTGTCTATTCCTCAAGAGAAAGATGAGGTTCTTTGGTCTTGGAAAGATTTAGAGCCTCGCAACCCCCAAGGGGCAGTTCTGCTTTGTCCTATAGGATCTTTATGGCAGTGGGGTTTTGTTTTGGGGGCACACAAGTCAAACGGGAACAGAGGGTCTCAGCCCCTGGAGTGTGCCCAGTGAGGAGTGAGTTTTATGGGCTGTGGTACTGCAGGAATTTGCAAGGCCGCCCCCACTCCCCAAATGAAAGTAAACATGGATCCCAGAAGTCCCTAGAAAGCCTGGTAGAAGCTAGCACTGGCTGAAAAGGCTCAGTCCGGGGTCCTTGCTGAAGATGCCTTGTTCGCCCAAGGTATTGCAAACAAAGCAAGGAAGGGACCCAGCTAGAGATGCCTGCAGATAGCCCCTCTCCTCCCCAAATCAAACCCACTGTCGTCGGACAAGTTGATTCGGACTCACAGTGACCCCACAGGCCAGAGTAGAACCGAGAGGCTTTGTAAGGTTGCAAATCTCTACAGAAACAGACAGCTGGCTACCTCTTTCTCCTACGTTCTGAAACAAACCAACCCCCAAACCTCAAGTTGATTCCGACTCATTGCTGCCCTGTATAGGGTTTCCAAGAGGCTGTAAATTTGACAAGGGCAGATGGTCTTATTTTTCTCCTGCAGAACAGCTGGTAGGTTTGAACTAACTGCTGATCTTGCGGTTACTAGTCCAGTGCTTACATTCAACAGCACAAGCTGTCGGGATAAAAGAAGAGAGCCTTCCCGCTCCGCCAGAAACCAGGCGAATTTCCTGGGTCAAAATGGCCCATAGCAAGGGGCTCAGCTGGCTGGCTAGTTCTGCCCCCGTACTGCCTTTGTGGGACCAAAGGTTTTTCTGTTTCTATCAGTTGTCATTGAGTGGATTTGTACTTGGTGACCCCATGCCTGCAGAGTACTGTCTTCAAGACTGTGGTCTTTAGGAAGTAGATTGCCAGGCCTTTCTTCCCAGGCACCTTCGTGGAGTTGACCATATGTTTTGAAACTTAAATTGCACAAGCAGGCCACCCAGGTGGCACGCCAGCCCCAAACTCCTCTCAGTTATTCCAGTGGTTCCCAAACTGGGCTCTGTATTTGAATCATCTGGGGATCCCGCGCCCTTCCCCCCACGCGCCTCCATATTTTGATCTATTTGGCATATCCTTGATTCCTAAATCTTCCCCCATATGCAGCAACGTTGGGGAAGCCAGAGTTCATTTTGTTCACCCCTGTTCAATCTATACACCGGCTCACCAGCAGGCTTCATGACCCTTCTTGGGCACATCTCCCTCTGAATATTTGCATTTCATGATCTTTACAACTAGTGAACTTAAAGTCCCGATACAAACTGGTCTGTTTCCCTCTTGAAATGAAAGCAAAATTACCTTCACACATGAGGAAGTGGTGGATTCGAGTGGAGATTAGATGAGTTTTCCAGAGCCTCTGTTACTGAGTCTCACGTGGCCTGTCTCCCCACCCGCATCACAGAACTGACGCCCGTCCATTCCACGGTGCTCTGGCAGCTTCCCTGTGGTGTGGGTGGTCAGAGGTGGCAGAAAGCCGCAGGGAGCCTATGATCGTAAGGTTAAGAAATATTGCCACTCTACGCGGCGTGTCTAAGGGCGTCTAGTGGGGTATTTTCTTTCCCATGACGTTCTTTTGTGGAGAAGCAGCTTGTTTGTTTCCTTGTACCTGTCTGATGGGCTCGAAGCATCTGAGAAGCGGGCTTTCTGGTGAACAGCTGGGACCTTCTGCCTGCAAGGCATTCCTGGATTTTATCCAGATTGTCGTTTCTACCCTTAAACAGCTATTTCAAATGTTGATTTCAGCCAGGAACTTTTGAAAACCACAGGCCCCCAGTTGAAGGATACTTGCTATTGGGATGCAGGCTCCTTGGCAGAGAGGTATTAGAAGAAAGATTTGGGGCAAGTAACCACCAGCACATTACTGGCTGCTCTCAAGCAGCCTTGGTGGTGCAGTGGTTAAGTGCACGCCTGCCACCAGGCCATTCAGTGATGGGAACGCACCAGCCTCTCAACAGGAGGAAGATGTGCTAGTTGGCATCTGTAAAGATGGCTCTGGAAGCCCACAGGGGCGGTTCTGTGTTACCGGGTCACTGTGAGTTGGAATCCACTCAACTGCAGCAAGTTGGGGGCTTTTGCTTGTCGGTGGGGGTGGTGCCAGGCAATGATAGAAAGCAGACTGGGGGCTCCCCGCCTGGGTCCGTTAACTGGTGGACAAAACTCTCCCCTTTGTGGGTCCGAGAGCTCCTCTAAGGATGCCGACCTGCTGATCCGCCTGGTTCATCGTAGAGGAAAGTGGAGGCCTGGCCAGTGTTTCCCAGAGCAGGCCAAGTGGGGCTGAATTGAGGGAAGGTGGGTGAGGGCGACTTTGGCTAAAGAAATCCCGGGGACTGGTACAGGGTGTCCCACTGAGTGGCCGTGTAAAACATACTGAGCTGAAGAAGAGTGTCGGCACTTGAGAGAGTTTGTGCTGAACTGTTAACTTCGACCTAGGGTACAGCGGTTACCCGTTAGGCTGCTAAGGTCAGCATTTCCAAACCACCTGCTGCTCCGTGGGAGAAAGACGAGCCTTTCTGTTCCTGTAAAGAGTCACAGTCTTGGGAACCCACAGAGGCAGTTCGACCCTGTCATGTAGCATTGCTAGGAGTTGGATTTGACTCAATAGTCGTTAGTGTGAGTGACCGCTATATTTGATACCACAGATAGAACATTTCTCTGCTGGCCAAAAGTTTGATTGGCTGAACAGCATGGTAGTGTTTGCCAGTGTGGACAAACTTTTAAAGACCTGTGATAGACATAGCATGTTGGATGATTATTGTGAGGGTTGGGGTCCAGTTGGCCATGGAAATAAAGAAGTGCTTTGGAGACTTGGTGGCCTAGTGAGTTGTGCTTTGGGCTACTAATTGCAAGGCAAGCAGTACAAGCCTACCAGCCTCTCTGCAGGACAAACATGGCATTCTGCTCCCATGGCTTTGGAAACCCCAGGGAGCAAATTGTGGGTTGTTCGATGGGCTGCTACTAGCCTCAAGGTCAGCAGTTTGAAACCACCAGCCATTTTTCAGGAGAAAGATGAGCCTTTCTACTCCCATAAAACGTTAGTGTCTCAAACTCACAGAGGCAGTTCTATGCTATCCTAGGAGACCAAACAGAGTGATAGCTGTGAGTTGGGTTTTGTGTTTTGGATGAGTCAACATTCCCTCCAGGGCAGGGCATTGGGTTAGACACTTAGTACTTGATTATCAGTGATTTGTGGCTGCTCCTGCAGGGTGGCTCCTCCTTAGGCCTCCCTGGGAGAGGGTAGAAGACCAGTCCCTTGATCTTAGAGGCAGGTACTCAGACGCTATGATGTTTATGACTCGGCTTGTTAAGTTTGAACAGTTCCAGGACACGAGAGAACTTCAAAGCTGTTTAACCTCAGGACCGCAAGCAAACATTGAAACAAACATGACCCAGTGCAAGACTTGTCCACTTCTTGAAAATGGACCAAGTACCTGGGTTTTTTACACCCCCCCCCAAGCTCAGTGTGCATGGGGGGGGGGATCCTTGACTGGGCTGTTCCCTCTCTCTACCCGCCCCCACCCTCCTTAAAAGTGCACCCTGATCCTTACCACCTTCTGAATTTTTTCACTTGCCCTGCTAGAAGAGTTTCCCTTATCTGCAGCTAGCCAGGTCCCCACTGGATGGCTAAATGGACCCACACCAGAATACAGTCTGGTTTTGCTTGGGTTTCTTCCATGAGTGAGATGCAGATGCACCCTATTCTTGAGCCATGGGGTTGACTTGATTTTGAAGTTTTTTAAATGACCGGATAAGTTACGTGTGAGATTTTGGATGCTGCCAGCAGCTTGTATGTTGGCACCCTACTGTTTTGACACCGTAACATAAAATAAGGGTGGAGGGGGCTGAGGATTAGAAAATACCTTGGTATCGATCCATTGTTAGTGTGCTCAATGCTGTTCTGTCTGGGGAACGCCACTGTTCAGGGAAATCATGAACGAATAACTCATAACATTGCCTGAAATCTATTCCTTCTTATCTGATGCATTATGGTGCCCTGGTGGTGTATTGGTTAAGCATTGGGCTGAGATCCGCATGGTCGGCAGTTCAAAACCACCAGCTTCTCCTCTGGAGAAAGACTGGATTCTCTACTCCCATAAACAGCTCCAGTCTCAGACCCACAGGCGCTCCCTCT